AGGCACACACAGATGCAGAAAATGCATTTGATGCACAGCTGGTACAAGCCACTATCTGGGACAGCCCATACACAGGAACATACAGAGCTCCCATAGCAAGGCTCTGAGACTGTTCACAGCCTGCATACAAAAGCACAGCTGTGTCAGCATGGAGGTCATTTGGTACCACATCTCCACAAAATGCCCTTTCCAAAGGGAAAGGCACAACCCAACGAATGAAGAAAAGGCCAAGTGCATTCACACCACCTTAAGGTGGGCTCCTGCTGTCACATGCTACAGTTTTTCCTATTCTAACTACTAGAAATGGTCAGAAAACAAATACTATTCCCTTTTAACTATTAAAAAATGAATGCATGAAATGGGAAGAAATTTCAGTGGTATTCATGTTGTCAAATTCTCATATAAAATATCCATTTTATTTACTTGCAAGGCTTCTCACTGTGTCATTACCTCCTTACTAGGTAACTGACATCTTCTTACCTTAAAATGTTGGTAACAACAATTCCAAACAGCTCTAGCATCAAACTAAATGTACTTCAGTAATTATTGGCCAGTATTTCCAAAGTACTTAAAGAACTTGTAAAATCAAGCTAGTATGGGATGACATTATAATCAACAACTCTGTAGTATTAAACAGTTTTACAATCTTCAAAACAAAAAAAGTACTTTCAAAATTAACTATTTAAGTTAAACTGAAACTATACTATTTACTCTGTCGCAATTTATCAGACACCAAAACATACACAGGTGAAATTATTTTAAATACCAACTTCAGAATCACTATCAAGATTCAAACTTCCATTTATCAAATTTGCCTCTACTCATTCTCACCATATGCTCAGTCCCTCTATTTAGAGTTGTTTCAAAACAAAACTTCTTTGAAAAAGTGATTGCAGTGTTTCCACTTGTTGTGCCGTCACCTGTTGAGCACGGCTAAGGAAGCTGTCACACAGATTCCCTCCAAGGTGCCGGCCCTCCCTTTGACAGCAGCAGATGCAATAGGAGAACACCGGTGCGCTGTTTATGGCAAGGCTGGCTCAGAACAGAGCTCTGAGGGGCGCCACGCCTCTGAGGAGCTCCCCTTTCCGGGGGTTCTGTACTTCCAACACGGAGCTGTTCGTGCTGCAGTCGTTCTTGCAGCACCCTCTAGTGCCCACGCCTGTGACTCGTTGCTATCATGGATTGCTGGAAATGCCGTCTCTCCATAAGCCGAGCCTCCCTCCCCGCAGAGCTGCTTTGCCAGCTTGAACCCTACGGATGTGCCCCGCTGCAGGAGCTTCTCACACCGCCACGCCTTCCTTCCTTCTGTTCTCATCTCTGTCACGTTCATTTTTCTTTCAGCAAAGGAAATGTGAATTTTTGTTTACCACAAAAAAAACCAGTGTAATTTCCTTTCAAATAAATATATCTCCTGAACTGAAGTCAACATATGAGCACATTGTCTTTGTGTTGTTTACTTTGGCAAATGAGTAATCATTTATTGGAGTTGCTCACATCACCGCCTAAACGAAGGCATTTGATTAGGAGGCGATGTGAGCAGCCTTTCTTATCCCTGATTTCCTTCAATAAGGCTTCAAGGCATGTATTTCAGAACCCTCTTCTCTTTGCAGCCACAAGCTGGGTGAGAAGGGCACAAAATGGAAGACAAAAATCCATTCGAGACCAGCGGTGGAGTTTACAAACAGAACAGATTTTGAGATGTACCAGACCCATTGCTGGCCAGCCAGCATCCCAGTGTGAAAGCAGTGTGGAGAGGGATAGATCACAGCTCCCAGGCTCCAGACAGGGAGACAGAGCTGGATATTCTATTGAGGAGCAAGGCTGAGATCAAATAGGGCACAGGAAAGTAAGAAACCTGCTGAAAACCAAGTCAAATATAAAAGGCAGTTAGCATTTCAAATCAGATACCTGCCTGGTGTTGTACTACTGGCTCAATGAACTGAGAGGTACTGTAGCTCCTAAGGACAGTCCCTTCCTTAAGGACAGTCATTCTGCTTCCTTGAAGCCCCAACAATGGTCTTTTCTCTTAATCATTCTTACACTGTATTATTTACATAGGAATTCACAAGTGTTGGGACAGTTTACAAATTTACAGATCAGGCAGACTACATAAACCTAACTAGTAACACTTCTATAAAAAGAACTCACCTCTTGGCCTGGAAGGATTTCCATCTAAATTGATTACATATTTAAAGTTATTCTATTTCTATTTGCAACATTAAAAATAGATGTCTCAGAACTACAGATGCATTCTCTCCTGTACCTGTAATTTACCTGTATTTACTTGTTTACCTGTAATTACTTACACAATCACACAGCAAATTCTAAATGCAAACAAATCTTTGGCCAATACCATTTGCTATGATTTATGAACTATTTTCTCAATTCATTGCAATATGCTTTTTCAAAAATTTGCAAAAATACACCTTGTAGTATTTCCAATTACATTCCATTGATGAATTCCTAAGCATCAACTGAATACATTAGAATCCTTACTGAATCAAGTCACTGCTTTGGGAAAGACAAAAGCAACTTTCTGCAGACAGACAAACCTATGAATTTTGTACACTGGAAATGTAAATTTATATAAATAAACTAGAAAAGAATACAAGGCCACCACATCAAATAAATAAAATCAAACAATAGGTTAGATTAGTTTTGCTCCTTTCTCCATTGAACACCACAAACCAGGTACTTTCAGTATCTTCTACTACCTCAACTTCCAAAAACTTGGTACAGGTAAGTTTTGGTTCTTTATACACCAGTGCATCAAACCACACTTAAAATATAGGTTGTGACAATGAGCTAAAAGGCTGAGTGCATCTAAAGAATTTTTTTTAAAAACAGACTGTGTGTGTGTGTTTACTATTTGTTAATAATTCTATATTCTATATTATTAATATTTAAAATTACTATTCATTATTTCCTAATAAATGTATGGCAACCATTTTAACTTTGAATACAAAAGTGCGCCATAGTGACCCAATCAAATTCACAGAAATGTTCCATTTTTAGAATAGCTCTACTAAAAACTTTGGGCAGCGTTACTTGGAACAATTACACAGAGAATCTACAGTTGAAAAAACTCTGTATATAATAACAAGTGAAATTGATACTGAAATCACATTAATTGTGGTTGCATTACTGGGTTTTCTGCTGAAGTGAGGGAAGGAAAACCGAATTAATTGTGCTGCTGGAAGCAGAGAAAGCCAGTGCTGAGAGCAGTGGCTGTGCTGTGGGGGAACAGTGCTCTGCACTGGTGCTGGGAGTTTATGGTTTATCACTCTGTGCTCCTGCCCTAGGATACATGTTTGGGGGTAGTCTTGGTCTCTACGTGGTTTATCAGCTTCAAAGCTTAGGGCAGACTCCCTAAAATAATAAAAATAAATGCACATCAGAAAAGCATATGCATTAAGATGCACAAGGTATTTGCCTTACTCCCTTATCAAGGAGAAGGATAAGTATGCTAAGTTCCTGTGTTTTAACAAACTTGACTACATTTAGTGGAGACCTGACAAAAGAGTCCCATTCACATAATATTGTGGATTAAAGGGACCGGCTTTATCTGGAGACCTCAGTTTTTCCCCCCTCTGGCTTTACTCAGAGTCTGTGGCTCAGGGCCTGGACACGATGTACTGTCCCATACAGGAGGAGCACGAGGTTGCATCTGCCTTTGATTGTAAAATATTCACCAGAATGAGAGCACGACACAGCTGCTGCAGCCAAATGCAATTGAGGCAGCACTTGTAAATTGTGTTTTCAACGCCGGAGAGAGCACACTGTTTAATTGCCGAAGCATCTGAGAATGGCAGCCAGGTTTCTGGGTGCCCTCTCACACCCATCCCCAGCTCCACATGACCACAACATTTCACGGTGTGTGCTCCTGTCCCTGCAAAATCCTCGCTTAACCTGCGAACTGGGGTTCAGCCAGCAGGGGAAGAAAAGGATTGACTTTACAGCGGGATGATCACAACCACCCGCTCACGGCACACCTGTCCCTGTTATTGTCTGTGAAGGGCGACTGTTTGAAAACCAATTACAGGCATACCAGAGATACCTTCAATCGCCTAAACAGCCGCCAAAACTCCACAGCTGTGCAAGAACTGCAATTGCCATTCCGGAGCAGCAGTGAAGGGCGCAGACACCATAAATCACGCTGTACTCCAGACATTCGCATTGCTCCTGACAGCGGTTTTCCTCCCGATACGAGAACACGATGTGCTCAGTAACTCAGCAAACCCACAGCTCGTCCAAGTCGGCGAACAAGGGGGGGGTTTAGCAAAGCTTACCCATCGGTTTCCTCTGCTCAGCCTTTCTGCTCACTTAAACAAGGGAGTTAGCGCATTTTTCTCCTCAGACAAGCGCAATTGCAGACCCAGGCAGAGAACTCTTCCTTACAGCCCGTGCCAGGCGCTGAGGCCAGGAGGGACCGGAGTGTGGGGTGGGGGGTAAAAGGGGCACAGCCTCTCACGGGCCGGCGCTCCCACCGCCTCTTAGCCTGGGAATGGCCGCGGGGAGCAGCCGGGAGAGGTCTCGGATGAAAACTCTGGTAAGTGGGCACGGGCAACATGCCCGCAAGCTCCACAGCTCCCCACACTCACCGGAGCTCTGAGGGGCGCTAGGCAGGGCACTAATGAAGGGCGGAGCACCCCGTAAAAATCACCCGTGGCCAGGTGAGGGCGGGCTCTGCTGCCAGGTAACCGGAGGGAGGACACAGTCTCAAGCTGTGCCAGCGGAGGTTCAGATGGGACATTAAGAAGAATTTCTTCAGAGAAAGTGGTTGTCAGGAGCTGCCCGGGGAGGTGGCAGCTCCTGGAGGTGTTTAGGGAGAGCCTGGATGCTGGGTGCCACGCTCCGGGTGATGGATGAGGCGGTTTTGGGGCTGCTCCCCTCCTGCGCCGCCCCGGAGTGTCCATGAGGGGGCGCGCGTGCAGCCCGCCCGCAGCACGCGGCGGCGGCGGGGCCAATCAGCGCGGGGCGGGGCGGGGCTGCCGCGCGGGTGGCGGCGGGACAAGATGGTGTCGCCGGGCGCGCTCCGCGTGGTGCGCTGCGGCGGCGGCGGCCAGCGCGGCGCCAGGGCCGTGTTCTCCGCCGACTCCAAGCAAGTGCCACGGGGGGCCGGGGCTGCCGCGATCGGGGGGGGCTCCCGAGTTCCGGGCCGGGCTGTGCCCGCCGGTGTCTCCGCGGCCTGCGGCTGCTCGGAGTGCCCGGGCCCCTTGGGCCGGGGTAACGGCGTTTCCCCCCGCAGGTACCTGCTGTACGCCTCGGGGGACTTCGTGAAGGTGCACAGCGTGAACACTGAGGAGACTCTGGGGCTCCTGTGCGGCCATGCCGATCTGGTGACCGGCATCCAGCTCAACCCACACAACCACATGCAGGTTTGCGGGGGGAGGTCCGGCTGGGGGTGGCCGGGCTGCCCCTGAGCCTTGTGTGCCACCGCCGGGGCTGGCTGGGGTTCGGGAAGGGGTTGGGAGTGGTTAGGGTGTCGTGGAGCTGATGTTTCGCTGAAATCTGACAAGAAGGGTAGAGCTATGTCAGTTTCTTACAGACACAAACGTGAAATGTCATGTGAATTGCACTCCTTGAATGGAATGACAACAAAACGGAAATACAGCAAAATTACCGGTTGAAATTGATTGAAAGAGTAAAAGAACCGTATGAGAAGATCAGAAATACTGTGGTTGGTCTTCACCCATCTGTATCTGCTGGTAGTGATGCAGATGTGACTAAATCCCTTTAGCTTGCCCAGTGGCTCCCTCTGCCCCCAGCCTGCCTTCCCTGTTCCTAGTTTGCTTGGGCTTTTTTGGTGTCTGGATATAAACCAGACTTATTTACCAAGAGGGACTGAGATAAGTCAGTGCATATCTTATGCATATTAGCTTTGTAAAACTGGATGTTCACATGGTGGGTATCTGTGCATTCACTCTTTGTGGCAATGTACATTTTGAACTAGAATAATGATGTTGTGTTTGCACTTCATTTGACGTCAGCACAGGGCTGGTCTGTGTCATGTATTTTTTATTATCCAGTTACCTGGTTGTGATCTTAAGTAGAATCTGGCTTTGATACATTGATATTACTTATATAGTTGGTTTGGGTTTTTTTCCTTCAGGTCTATTCTTCCTCTCTTGATGGCACCATTAAGCTGTGGGACTTCATGGATGGCATTCCTATTAAAGTATGTTGAGTTATTCCTGTTAAGAGCATTTAAAAAATGGGCACAAATCAGTCTGAGATGGGTTGTTCTACTATGAACACAAACTAAAACCCATCTAATTATGGCAGTAAAGGGATGTGTGATGATGATAATGATGCAGATCCTTTTGGGGAAGAAGGTGGGAGATGTACTGACATACTGACCTTGCTAACTGCTGCAGTTCTGAGTCTAGGGTAGCTCTGGGAAGTCTGCTGCAGTTTGGGATACACCCATAGGAATTGGTCCAATGGCTTGAAAATGTGGGCTGCTTACTCTTGCTCATATTTTCTGCTAAATATCCACTTCTGGGTATGCCTTCTGCTTTGTGTTAGGGATAAGATATCCTGAGGCTTTTCAGTAAATCTGATGTCTCATATTTCATTAGTTGTGTTTTAACATTTGTGTCAGTCCTTGATAGAATAAAGATGTATTTGTCTTAGAATTGAGAATTTTAATTAGTACGTGAACCTTTCTGTAAGACATTATTTCCTTATTTTAAAGACCTATACACAAATGTAGTAATTGTTGATTTCCTTCTCTTTTTTTTTTCCTTCAGACTTTCACTGTAGGATCCAAACTTCTGGCACTGTACGCGCTTGCCAGTGCTGAGGACTCGGTGTTTGTTGTCATTCCAAAGAAGGGTGAACGAGGTACAGTACAGGCAGCATCATCCATGTCATCTGTCATTCTGTGTCTGTGCTGCTGTCCCAGCAGTGAGCAGTGTGCTTCAAGAATGGGCTTTAATTAATTGTGAAATATTTTTTAAATCCTGTGGCAGATGTCTAGTACTGCAGTTTGTACCTCTTTCAATCTCCTTCTGTGACATGTATCATTCCAATATTTGTCTAGAAGAGTGCTTGTCTTTGCTTTTGAAGCATGTACTGCATGGTTGTGGTCTCACAGATGCAGTTCATCTTTGAGCAGTGCTCACCAAGGTTCAGGTTATACTACTGACGTTGGGTAGGAGTGCTGGGGATTACTCTCCCACCTTAGGCAGTATTACCATAAACAGACTTGTCCTATTCACAGCATGCCTAGGTATTTTTTAATGGGATTTTGTCTGCAATAAATACACTGTGTACTATAATATATTGCTACTCCAGAGCAAGAGCAAATACTGTGCAGCTTCCCTTGGATTCTCCTGCTTACACTTGCACTGACACCCACTGTCTCGTCCTCATTCTTCAGTACTACTGTTGGTTTCAGATAGATTTTTTTCTTTGGTCAGATACATTCCAGCTGGTCTCAGTTAAGCTGCCAAAAGGAGCAGGCCAGGATCTGGAAGGCAAGGAGCTCTCAGTGGTTCTGGATGGTGTGGGTGCGTCATCAAAGCAAATTGCGTTTGGAAGAGAAGTATGTTCACCTCTGGGTTTTTTTCTTCTCTGAGTGTTGGTTGGTTGGGTTTTTTTCCTCTCAAATGATATCTATACTGTTTATGCCTTTATACAAAGTACAGCAGTACTGAAACAAAACTAGAAGTAAATTAATCGGTGTAAGAACTATACTTTTTTAATATTACAAAAGTAAAAAAGAAACTTGGAGACCTAAAATGGGAAAGTATTTACTCAACGTCAGCTTATATGTTGTAAAGTATTTTGTAGTGAAATGTATTTTATTTTTTTCTATGTGAAAACTTAATCTGTATGTCCTAAATGGCTTTGCTTTAACAGGATTCATATGTGGTGTCAGTGAAGGATGTGGATCTCCAGGTTTATTTTTTTAAACAGAAATTGTTGAACAGGTAAGAATAAGAATGAAAATATCAGGTATTGGTTCAATCTGATATATCCTAAATGGTTTTTAAATCATGATGTGTGCACACATGGTCTCATATTTGGTTTTCTGCTGGGGGATATGTAGTCATTATATGAGAGGAAAATAAGTCTGTCGTTATTTTTTGAGAGTGCATGTAACCATAACAACTTGAAAATGTTTAGTTTTTCTAATCAGAATTATTTTTTATGTGCACTAGCTGATCCTTTTGAAGATTTGTTTCAGAAAAACCAACCTAATTCTTAAAATTAAAGTTCTTTTTTTAACTTTTGAAGGTTTTCTTTGAGTACAGCAAAGACAAAAGGAGACAATCGCTTCAGTTGTGTCGTGTGCCATCCTACAGAGGATTGCATTGCAACTGGCCATGCTGATGGAAAGATTCGCCTCTGGTACGTGGAGCTTGGTTAACTGTGCATCCCATGAGCTCCTCTGACTGTAGGAATTAAGTCAAACCTTAGCAAAGCAGTCTGATTTATCCTTAGCATTGCCATTTTCAGAAGTCAGAATGAGCAATGAACCTGCAGTGCTGACAGTCTATATGTCAAGTGGAAAAAATGCCTATGTTAAGTTATGCTCTGTTAAACCTAAACTTAGGTGTAAAAGGTAATGTGAGAACAGCTGAAATAACTCTTTATGGGCACATCTAAGGAGAGCACATCAGTGGAATACATGATTAGAAACACTACATGGTTAAGTTACTTCCAGGGCTGAGTTGCTCAGTATATCTAAGATATGAGGTGTGGACCAGGAAGTTTCTGAAAACCTGTAGTGTGGTTCCTTCCCTCCTTCTGCATCACTTGAGCATAGGATAAACCAGTCTAGAAGTTAGAGGACAGGATGATATAATTGATTCAGTTCAATATTTCCTTTGGTTTACTCTGTTGTTGATGTTGTGAGTAAACAATTGTTTTGTTCCTCTCCACACAGGAGGAATTTCCACCACAAGAAAGGATACACATATTCAGCACTGCACTGGCATCATGATACTGTCATGGATCTGGCTTATTCTTTGGAGGGTGAGTAAAAGAAAAATAAAAACCAAAACAAAGCAATAAGAAAAACCCTACCCAAAAATCTCCATCAAACAAACAAAACCTCAAATTTGAAGTGTTGCAGCAGACAAGGAAGAATCTGTAGAAGCTCCAAATTTGTACACTAACAAGTTAATTTCTAGAATTTTAAGTGTATCCAGGAAGGATCTGAAATAAAAACTAAAGGAGTTATTTTTATATGCATTTTGATTGGCATTTATAATGTCAAATACCTTTCTCTTGTTGTAGAAGGAAAAATCTAACCCCTTATCTCATCTCTTCTCCCTCACGTCCACTCTTCCTCCCCTTCTGTTTTATTAATAGTAGTACTGATGAGTTCTTGCATCCAAATAAAACAAGTCAGTCTTGTCTGAGCTCAAACCTGCTGTCAGAAATAATACATTTCTGTTTGAATTGTGTGATCTGAACTATTCTTCTTAAGGTATTTCTTACTGCAGAGTACTTTTCACAGAGGGAGAACAATTTAGCCATATCCTAACACAAATATCCAGCTGATTCAGAAAGTGATGGGATCTACTACTCCCAAAGCATTGCTTAAATTTCACTGTAGACCAAGTTCCTGTTACTTAATCCAAGTTTCTCTAGCAATTTAACAGGAGATAATGAAAAACATGTCTTCTCATGCTCAGTTTAAAAAGTTTTGAGAAACTCATGCCTGTCTGTCATTGTAAAGACACAGGCTGCTGATTTCATTTCTTTTTAAGCAAAACCTTTTAACTGTATTTTGTTGCTGGAAAAGGAACCAGGTTGCTGAGTGGTGGAGTTGAATCTGTTCTAGTCCAGTGGCACAATGAATCTTCATGCCAGAAGGATTTCCTGCCTCGTTTGGGGTCTCCCATCGAGTGCATCTCCCTGTCCTCTGACGGCGTTCTCTGCTGCACCCTGCACACCGACAACAGTAAGCAAAAACACATCCTAGCATCACTTCAGTGGAAATGCAAATCTGTATGAGCTTTATTTTGTTGATTTTGCATGAATTAACTAAGAACTGCATAAAATTTCATTAATGATCTGAAAAGAGAGTTTCTTTTGCTCTTTGAAAGTTCTGTGAATTTGCTTGGTGACTGCTGTAACTTGGCTTTCCACTTTGGTGTCATAAATTGGGAAAAGATACATTTGCAGTACAGAAGGTTACAGTTCTTTCCCACCATGAAATGTGTGCCTTGCTTTCTCTTTCAGGAATTTCAATAATCAACAGCAACCTAAGGTTTTCCAGAAGTATTCAAGGGCTAATCAAAAGTAAGTGCAGTAAAATTTGTCTTCCACTTAGAGGGTGGAATGTATCACATGACATCTTTGGTCATTTGTCACCTCAATTTTGTTTCCAGGTAGGGATGTCAAGACTGGCCTAGTAGTTGATCCTAGAACCAAAGCTTTGGTCCTGAATGGAGAGCCAGGCCACTTGCAGTTCTATTCCCTCCAGACTGACCAACAATTGTTCAGTGTAAGTTGGATGGGCTTGTACCAAAACTTTAACTTAGTCAAGTAGCTTGTGCATCAGGATTTATTTGAAGGCTTAATATGGCAAATGGGGAATAAAACCTTGCAGCTATCCCACAAGGCTGGATTCCAGGCTGACATGTTCTTGGCTTTATCTCTATTCATGTGCTAAGCAAATCTTAAGTATTGATACTGAAAAAAGTACTTTAAAACAACGTGCTATCCTGTTAAATGCCAAAAATTTGTAGGTAAAACACCTTCAAATTATTTTTCATTCTTTCCTACACTTTGCATCGCTGTGGAATCCACACGCTCTAATTCTGCTTTCCCCACACACTGGCATACTTCTTCATGCCACAGCCCAGTCAGGTCTAACTGGAGCCCTCAGAACATCCTTTCTCCGTGGTTTCATGAGTGGTATCTCTTCCAGCTGCAGCTGAATTTAACTCCCCTGTGGGCTTGCTTTGCAGCTGGACATCGTGCAGCGGCAGTACATCCACCAGGCGGGCCTGAAGCAGTCGGACCTGGTGAAGGTGGCGTTCAGCGCCCGGGGCACCTGGCTGGCCACGGTGGAGGAGAGTGAGGAAGTGGCTGACCCCGAGCTGCAGCTGAAGCTGTGGTTCTACACTGAAGAAACACAGAGGTAATGGTAACAGCTGGCCTTCCAGCTGCCAGTCACACAAATCCCTGCACACAGATTGCCTTGCACAGGCAGAGTTTTCCCAGATCTGGGAAGTTACCGCGCACACAGCAGCATCTGCAGCAGAGCACAGAGTTGCACTGAATACACACACGAAATAATTGGTCTGGATTTATTTTACGTACAGTAATTAGAGACTGTTGTAACCATGGGACTTCAATTCACATAATTTCTTGGTATTAAAAATCATGGACCTGACAGAATGATTCTGTAGCTCATATAGTTTTCCCACCTCTGTGTAATCCATCATTAGTTGATTAGTCCTTCTCCAGAAGATTCAGAAGATGATAACTTTATTGTTGGTTTTTGTCTTTAGCTAACATATGCATTAATAGCCTTTCTTTAATTTTCCTTTCCTGGTTAATCGCCTTTCCTTAATTTTCTTATTTAAAAAATTGCATTTTGACTACAAATTATTTTCTTAAATAAACAAGGTAAAAGAAAAGATCTTACTACACAGATAAACCATTACTGATTTTCTAAGTACTGGAAAGACTGCCCAGGTTCAGGCTGAGTATTTGAGAGATGCTTGCCTGCTGATAATTTTTGGTGCTGGGCTACTGTATGGAAGCCATTAGGGAAACCTGATCTTTAATGCAGTAGCATTTAGCAGTGTTAATTACAAATTCCTTGGATTGCTCTTCTCCCTGCCCATTCCAGAATCCGCTTGAACAGAAGTCTTCCCCAGGTTCCAAATGAAATAGAATGGCAAGCTTTTGCTTTCTTTTCCTACAGCTTTGCACTGAACACCAGAATAAACACACCCCATGACAACCACATCACAGACATGTGCTTTCGTGACATGGATGAACTGGGAGATGACTCTCTCATCCTGGTAACAACTGGCAGAGACTGTGTGTTTAAAGTCTGGGTGATGGTAGGAGACTCTGATCCAGAAGGTAAGCATGGCCAAAAAATAACTTAATTCTTCTTGTAACATAGAACTGTAAGAATAACCTGAACTGGAAATTACCTATGTTGCCATTTGAAGTCATGCTCTAGAAATCAAGACCCTGCTTTTATTTGCTTATTCCCCTGCATTGATCTGCTTCTGCTGCTGCATGAAGTATTGTGTTCTCCTGAGCATCCTGTGAAGGAGTTCTGCCATAGTTCCATAGTATTAGTTTGGTCTGGAGTTTCCTGATATAACCAAAGACCTTGGCAAGCTGCTGCAGAAGGGAGTGGCAGCCTGTTCATTGGTTAAAGAACTATTTGTGGTAGTGATTTTTCCATGCTGAGAGAATGGATTTTTGTCAGTCCTCTGGGTTGGCTTTTCCTTTGAGAATCTTGCTCAAAGGAGCAGGATACAGAAATGTGTCAGTCTGTTTGAGCTTAGTATAAAATAAGAGCACTTCTGCAATTCAACATATCTATCACTTCAGAGTTCATTTTTTGAACATCCTTCCTTTCCATTAGGTACTTGAACATCATAGAAGGGGTATTTAGATATTTCTGATATTTCTGGTATTTTTAATAACTAAATTTAACCTCTTGAAAGACATGCTGATGTTCACTTCTTTCAAACACACCATCTGTGTATGTTTATTGATTGCTCTGTATGCCTTTGGACATGAAATACAAAAGATTTCCAACATATTCATGTCTTTTTACTTCAATGTTATTACAGTGTCAGGGACACTTCAGTGAGGTGGCATTTTCCTGCCACTTGGCTGTCTTGTTATTTCATGTTCCTAAGTAGCTGTGATAGTGGTGTTGCTGGACTGCTTGCAGTTTAGTAATCTGTTTGTCTTTTCATGGGCAGGTAAGAACATGTTCAAAAGTACTTTAGAGCTACTAGGGTTTCCATTTGGCAGACTTTGCCAGACTTTCTCTTTCCAAGCTCTTTATGCCTCAGCTGTGGCTGCTGATGAGAAGAAAGGCAAACCTTGTGTCATACACTGTATTAGTAGTAATCTCCCCAGTGGTATCTGAAAGAGTGTTTGGGTTTGTTTTTTTTCATAAATCATTCTGAGGCTAAATTATATCTTAACTTAATGAGCAGATACTTTGGTATTGAGTATAGTGTCAGTTGGGGATGAAACTTAATTTTCTTTTTCCTTCCACAAAATAGTTTTGTCTCTGCTGACTGGCCTCATCAGGGTGTTTGTATTTGAGGTTACTGCAGGGTTTCTTGGCATATGTGAAAGTACCAATTAGTGGTGGCTGCTGTGGTGTATTTGCCCAGTGGGGCAGAGTAGGAATGCTCAGGTAGAAAACTTGACATGCTGCAGCTTTTCTGCAGCAAATACTGATTTAGCAAAGAGCTCCTCAGTTGAGTTCACTCTGGTATGTGTTCATTGCAGCAGGTCTCCTGCTGGGCCCCTAGATGGTGCCATGCACTTGGAAGTGCTCAATCGTTTCTGGCTTTTTTTTTTTTTTTACAGGCAGGTCTTTTAATCATCAACTTTTAGCCATTATATAAAGGGTAGCTTAGCATAAGGTGATTTTCCTTTTTTTCCTCATCCTACTCAAATATTTTAAAAGCATGCTGTAGGAATTATTTTATACTGGGAAATGTATGTTAATGTGGTAAGTACATCACTTTGCTCCAGTTTATTTTCTGGTAACTATCAAGAGTGGGAAATGTGTCCAAACAGAATGCAATGGCAGATGAACCAACAGAAGGAAGCATGCTGGTGGGTCACTTGATGATCCTCAAATCCTCTGTAAGTGAACCATGAGCTTTGTTGGACTCAAATGCAAGCTGTGTTCAGATTTTGAGTGATGCTCCTGTGTTCTTGCTAGAGTTATGACGGAACAATTTTTACAGAAAAATAAGTATTGAATCTACTTGGGTATCATTTTACCTAATCTCTGCCTCTGTGAGAGCACAGTTAATGGAGTTGGCAAACTAAGCATGAATATTGTACCATGTCAGTCTCAAGGTTCTCTGTTCAAATGCAAAACTGAGGACAAATTAAACCCCTACCAGCTGTTTCTCATATTAAAACAGGGCAGACTCTCTCTACTCTTCAAAAATTGTGAAAGAAAACTGCCTTGCCTTGAGCCTGTTCTGCAGTAATAATTGACTTCTTCTTTCTTCATGTATGGACTTGAATTAACTGGCTTGTTCATTCAATGCAGCACACCAGAGTGTGAGCTGGAGCTGTGACTTTGTGGGCAGCTACCACAACTACCAAGCTACAAACTGCTGCTTCTCAGAAGATGGCTCTTTGCTGGCTGTTAGCTTTGAAGAAACTGTCACTGTATGGGATTCACTTACTTGGGATCTTAAGTGTACATTTTGCCATCCACCTGGAAATATAAGGTACATTTTTCATCTGCTCTTTTATATCTCATTTGAACTCTGAGAAAGAAAGAATGCATTCATAGCAGTCCAAGACCTTGTATATGTTCATAAACTTATACACAAAAACATTGAATTTATCAGTCTTAAATTCATATATAGAAAATACTAAAATGGCTTTTAGGTGTTGGTTAAAAATAAGATTGAGCACTGCACTTCCTTCTTACTTGTTTGTCTCTTGTACCTCTCATCCTTAAATCTGTATCATGGAGCGCACAAGTAGTGTGTTGATAGCACTTCTCTTTTCCCCCATTAATCCAGGGGTGAATAAAGTCCTGGAAAAATGTAAATGCAAACAGTTGGTTCATTATTTGCGTATGCATGCATGCAAATGGAAATTAGTTCATCGTGCCTTTATGGTTTATTGATATTACCTGTACTGTGAAATACATATGTTCAACCTCTGTAACCTCTGTTCAAAAATCCATATTTTCCTGGCAGACTATTCCAGCAATGTTCCGTTGTATGCTGTCATGACAAAAAACATCAACATTGTATGGTCACAATATTTTAAAGACTCTTGGCACAAAGAATCATGGCAGCATACAGAGGTTTCTCCCTTCCATGTGCTGTGTGTATATTTGTAAGCTTTTCTTTTGTGTGATGAAATCTGTTTTGTGTTGGTCCTCTAAGATTAGAAATTGAGAAATGTTATTCTGAAACTGCTGTGGAGGAAAGTTGTGGGAGGCATGTGAGCTTGGTGCAGTGGCAAGTTTTTCCCAGGCCAGCTGCCTCCTCTTATAACCTTTACTATTTGTTATATTAAAAGGAAATCAGTTACTCTAGGAATATAAAGAATTGCTGTATTATTTGCATAATGTCAAAGGGCTTTGCTTTAATATACAAATTCTGTCCCTTATTAGCTTTTTTTAAAATCTTTTATCATTACAAGTCCTAAGACTGTTCTGTTATTCTCAAACAAGAGACTGAGAAATTAAATCACATGCTGTCTTCAACTGGAGTTCTAATAACCCTTTTTAAACTACTTCACTCATTCTGGTTCCTAAACAATAGTAGGGCTTCTTTAAATATTAAATTATTTTCCAATCCCAGTGTGAATACTTAAAATTATGTATGGGTTTGTAATTTATTTTAGAGTTTTAAATCCCTCCTTTATATTGGAACACTGTAGAAACATGTAATCCTTACATATTTATGCACACTTTAAATTATCAGATTTATGTGATAGTTGTGTGTGGAGTTTCATGCCACTTGAGGTGAATGCAAAAATCAAACTTTGGATTTAGATACCAAAACTAAATCATAACTAAATGGTTTTTGTGACTTGTGAGTAATTGCTACATAGAAAAACAAAGATGAACTCTGAAGGTGACTAATTTGTTTTGATTTTTTACTTCTGTAGGAACATCTGCTTTGGGAGACTAACATGTTCCAAGTACCTTATTGGTGCCACTGATTATGGCTTTCTGTGTTGCTGGAACCTGCTCACTTGTGCATGTAAGATCAGCTTGAACGTGTGCTAGAGTAATTTATTGCTTGAAATTACTGTGAAACCTTGAAATCATTCTAGTTCAGTGTGGAAATGAGATTATTTTCATACTTAGGAGAATATCCTGTCCATGTGCATGTGCTTTGTGTGTGCAGAAATAAATCTTGGGTTAGGTGAACGATCCCAGTAATAGTAATTTCTTACACTTGTGTAGGAGTTGGTAGCATTTGTGGGTTTTTATTCACCAGGGAATGAGTGGAGCTGCTTCTTCCAGCAGCTAAGGCCCTGTGTGGTGTTTGCTTGACCTTTTGTTTGGCTCCTTTTCACCTCTGCCTCTTGCTGTGCTTGCTTTTCAGTGGAGTGGAATGCCCACCTCAACGTCGTGGTTCTGCAACCTGATCCCCTTTCTGAGCACATTGCTGCAGTCTCATGGCTCTCCAAAGAGTCCAGCTGTAAGTACAAAGCCTTCTTTCACTAGTCATGATCAGCAGAATTTAAAACTGGGGAAGCACAATTCCTAGAAAAGGTTTTCTTAGACCAAGAGAGCTGGAGAGGGACTTCAGTGGGTGCTTGCACCTGTGGGAACTGAGCCATATCTGGCAGCAGCATTCAGATAAAGTGTGTTACCTTTTCGTCCAGCTGGTACTTTCAGGTACAGGATATATCTCAGGATTAGCCACACGTTCTGGGTGAGGGTCTCAAATGTTCTTGGCCCTCTCTTGTAAATGCAGAACTATGCAGTTACATTTTAGAGCTCTGACAATAAATTAAGATAACTCTTCCTACAGAAATGTTAATTTCCAACTGTGTTCTCTGGACTGGAGTGTTGTGAAAGGTCCCTTCTGTTATTGACTAAAGTTAGCCAGTTATATTCCTGTGAAGTGGTGCTTGGAGGCAATCCTGTCCAGCTTTCCTGGCTGTGATATGCAGGGCTTTGACAGCTAGCCAGGAGCATAAGAATTTCCTGATTTAAAAAGAAGGTATTTTTGGTTTTGCAGTGTTTGTGTTTAAACCAAGTGAGCCATGGCCAGTCTACATCCAGAGAAATCTTTGTAAAGACAAGATCCTGCTTGCTGCCTTCGTTCCAAGAGATGAACCTGAAATGATTAGCTCAGAAAAATACCTTTGGCTGAGAAAATCCCAGCTGTTTTTTCTTACAGATACACAAGTAAGGAATAGTAATTGGTAGGTGGTTCCCGGGGAAAAACTGTTTTCTTTAAAATGGATTGATGGGAAATCAGAGTACTGCTTATGAGCATAGAAGTTCCTTTTTTGATTCCATGTCTTTGTAAGCTGTGCTTTGTTGAAAGCTTTTAACTGCCAAAACAGCCTAAGATCAAAATTATTTACTGGTCTTCTACTATTCTTGTGAATAGTTTTATGCTTCTTCATTGATACAAGAGACTAGATAACATGGGAACATTGTCTGTGCTGTTTAACTTAAACAAGCACCTAGAAGCTGTATGGATTATTGCTGATTATTCACATGTTCCATGTGATACTCAGTTTCCCTGTAATTTCTGGATGGGGTTTTTGTTTGTTTTCCCAAAAAGCCCATAGAACCTTTAGGTCCATTCTTGCTTCTCTTCAGTTTCTTTACAAAATAAAGATGAAGAGATGGTTTTCCTCTTCCACTTGACTGATAAAACTTTTGGGCCAGTTGGAAGCTTCTGTAGGCAAGCTATGTAAATATAGAAAGCAGTTTCGCATATGATAACTCTGCTACATCCTTCTGCATTTTAGGAGCTGATGACACTTAGCACAAAGCCTCTGGAAGAAAGGCTCACACCATCAAGCAAACAGGTACCTCTCATAGAACTTCTGACTGAGATGGGCAGGGCAATTCAAAATTCTGATGGTTATTTTGTCATATTGAAATTCCCTTTTGTCATGAAAATGCTCACTAGATCCTTACCTGGAGTCACAGGCACTTAGCTGAAGGGGCAGTAATCTGTATTTGCTTATTTTTTAACAAGAAGTGCTGTTTGCAAAATTTTTTTTAAGTATCAGTGAGCTACTCCATTTCCCATGGGGGGAAAAATCATAATTTTCTAAAAGATTCAGGTTATGCAAATGAAGCAAAATGTTTGAGTAAGCTCTTTTCTTATCTTGGTTTCTGTAACACTTGGAACCTTGAGTGTGGTCTGAACTGTGAGGATGAACAGTTATCAGTCAATTGTGATTTACTTGTGAGAAGGAGTTCCAGAATTGCATTCCAATATGTATTTCTGTGGAGAAGTAGTCTGGGAAATTGGATTTTTTTTTTTTTAATTCATTTTGAAGAAGTTAAAACTGTAACAGCAGCATTTGATTGATTTGGTTGGTCAGTTAACTAGATCAAAGTAGAAGTTAATGTCTTTCTAATACAAAATGCTGTGGGTCCGTGGGCATAAACAATCAGTTTCTTTGGAGGGTGGGAAAATAATTTGGTGTTCAGATAAACGTATATCGATGCAGGAAAATGCCAAAGTCAAGGTGCCATGTTTTGCTTCCCATTGTACAATTGTATCTCTCTGCACATGATGCTGGAGTATAAATCATCTTTTGGTTCTGTGAAATCAGAAAACCCATCCTTTGGTTTTCTGGCACATGCACCACCTTCCATACTTGGAAGTTAATAGGTACACCAGCAAACTAAAATCCAGTGTTCTTGGGGCCCGATTCTGGAGAGTTTTGTAACCCTCTGTGCAGGATTCTCTCCAGACACCTGACAGAGAATGAGTACAAAGAGCCACATAGCTCAGTTGAGTTAAATTTGAGTGTAGGCTTTTTTCACTTGGGTTTATTCTGAATTTTGGTAACTTAAAAGGAGATAGAATTGTGACACTAAAATCCTACTTACATTTTTTCAAGCTGGCAGTAGAAGAAAGTCTTCCTGTGACACCATTTAGTGTGCTGCTGGGAAAGCACAGACGTCAGCAAGCACAGGAGGATACAGACCTTGGAAAACCAGTTGTTCATAATAAGCAGGAGCAAGCTTCACCTGCTGTCAAAGAGGTAGGAGTAATTACAATAAAAGTAATTACAAGCAAAATCATGACAAACAGTCTTTCATAAAGCTTTTGTTCTATCTTTGCAGCTTTTGCACACTCCAGCACACGTTTTGCCATCTGCTTCCTTCCTCTGCACTATATTTATTAACTCATTGCTCATCTCCAAAGAGAACAAAAGGTAAGAAAAGTTCAAGAATTCTCCTTAGTTATCAAAGTTACTTTAAATTATGTCAATCTTTGTTTGAAGTGTAAAAGCAGTTTTCCAGCACTTTATCTATTCAGTAATTTAGTAGAATACTTCAGTGTGGTAATGGTCTGGCTATTTAGTGTATTGGCTCTTTTGTTGCTGTTACTTTGCTGGGTTTTGCCTAATGTGCTTATATGCAAAACACTGCCTTTTACACTCAAATGTTCTTTATGAATTTAACTTTATTCCAGGGATTTAATGGCTTTTTAGTGCTATTTTTGGTTCAATATTAGATTCTCAACTTTATTTGAAATTCCTATGACTTGCTGCATAATTCTTGGTTTCAGTTTCTAGCTACACCACTAAGTTAGAAGCTTGATCTTAAGAATTGGTTTAGAACTCAAATGTCATTTCTAATTAAGCTACAGAATAAAAGGTTATACTGTAAGCACATCTAAGTTTGGCTTACAGTGCATTAATGCCAGTTTAATAGAGTAGTTAGATAGGTACTTAAAATTGTAGCTTTCTCCTTTGGGATCAAAGGAATGCAGGCACAGGGATTATGACAGTGCCCTTTTGTACTAGGATTAATATCTTGTCACTTACACTGAAGCCAGTTCAGTGATTGCATTTTTGTGCCATGTGTTCTTTAAAATGCTTCATTAGACTCTGCCAGGCCGGGGATGAAAGCCTGTCCTTGCAGTCAGGTGTTGGTGTGGGTTTGCCAGATGGGTGAGTGGGAGGTTCACAGGGCCAGGGCTCAGCAGGAACAGTCACAGCCCCTGAGTGCCCTGGGTTCTGCCCTGCAGCCTGTTCTGGGTCCTGCAGGATCTCTGACTGCACAGCACAACAAAACAGCCACACAACAGTGGCAGAAATCTGATACATGGGAACTTGCATCTAGTTTCAGTCCTGAAGAATGTGGGAGTTCAGTGACCTGTGTAAATATTTGCACTTGCAGAGCTTGTACTTTGACAGCAGTGACTGCTGTGGCTGTGCATTTAAAGGTACATGTAATTGTAAGCATTGGGCCCTTGAAGATTGATCACAATTTATCAGTGTATATATTATACAGTTGGATATATTATTAGCATTAAGTGCTTCTATTTTCCTTGGCAATATGATATTACTGTGTGCTTCTCCATTTACATTTTGTTAGAACAGAGGGTTTTTAGAAGACCAGTACTGTTTGTTTTGCCAGGCAGTTCACTCTTAATAGATCTGGACTATTTATACAACAGACACTTGAATTAATACTATTAATTAATGCTTTTTAAATTTTAACAGTTCCATATAATTTGTTGGAATCGTGCTTTCTACTTCAACACAGGCTTAAATCTCTTGAACTCAGAAGGGAATGGCCACTTTAAAAATCTCTCTATGTTTAGAGAACAAAAAAACAAGCAACCAAAGAATTTTTTTCTTTCCTAATAACACTCTAGGTATTTTTAAGACCAAGTGACCCTTTTCAGATTTGAAAGAGAACAATGACCTTCTTGAATACTGTCTCATCTACCAGTATATCCAACATTTCTGATACTGTAGGACTGCAATGTTGTAACATTTGTCATAATGCTGACTTGCCTGCTCTGCAGTTACCTATTATATTTCAAGAAAAAAAACTATTTTAAGTTTACTTAGAGGAGAGCTATTTGAAAAATGGCTTGAAATTGAGATGGCAAGACAAGTATAGTAGGTAGACTGAAAGGAAAAAGGTAGATTGAAATGAAAAAAAAAAAAGATAAAATCTTGTTTACTTAGTTGTTTACATGATACTTCTCCCCTTTAGTACTGTAGTATGTGAGAGTACCTATTAATTGGGTTGTTTCCAACCATCTTCCAGTGCTGAAGAAGTTGCTGATGAAGTAGAAATGGAAAGTGAAAAAGCAGAGGATGATTCAGATGAGGAAGATGTCACAGAAATGGAACAACAGGATACAAGCCATATGGAATTATTAGGAGAGATTACATGTAAACTGTCTAAATCCCAGGAAAAGGAGCTACGAAAAATAAGAAAAATGGACTACAGCTGGATATCAGCCTTCTAAACAGACATCTTACTTTTTTTATACTGCAAGTTGAAGCTTTGTGGATTAAATATTCTTTTAAATTTTTTTCAGGTCCTCTGGCCAAAAATTTTATCAGCTTCTCTTTCCAAAGGAATGCGGAACAAGGGGGAGTGATTAAAGTTTTGAAAAGCTGATTCTGCTCTTAGTTTATTACTGATTCTCTGTGACCTTAGAAAATGCTTAACCTGGCTTGGGGGCTCCCCACCCCCTTGCAAATGTATTTAAAAGGCTAATAGCAAAACTGAGTTCATTATCTGGCTTGTGATCAGTTAGCAAAGTGACAGCTCAGCTGCTGAAAATCTTCCCCACTGGGGCTGGGTTACTGCTGCCAAAGGCAGCCACAAATGCCTTCAGTTGGTGACAGAGCTTAGCTCAAGGTGTGGCAGGGGAGCTCAGGTGGTTCTTGATGCTATATGCAGGTAAGTAACAAGTCTCCTCCCAGAAGTTCCTGTCCAGCTGTTGAGACAGATGAGAAGTGGTTAAACATGTGTGGTTAGAGAATATTTAATCTTTTGTGGAGTTCATAGAGTATGGAGATTCTCAGGTGGAGGGTGCACAATGTATGAGCACTACGGAACCTTTCCAGATACCAAGACAGCTGCATCATGCAGGAGATCCATCAGTTTATGCAACAGCCAGTTTAACAGCCCTTTAATGCATCAGTTGCAATTCCAGTATCTCACTTAACTATAGCAGAGTGTAGAATTGGTTTGAAGTGGTGAATTTGTGGGCCCAAGTTGGAATACAATCTCCATGGTGCTGCAGTATGAAGGCAAGCAGATGCAAATGGTACAGGTCACTAAAAGCCCTGAAGAAACAATATTTTGCTAAAACTATTCAGATTTAAAATGCTGGAGAAAGAACAATCCAACATTCAGTGAAAGCTGAGTTCTCCCTACTCTACCTTTCAAACAAAGTGGAGGACCCTTTTCTTCCTCTCCTGTGTTAACATGATATAGTGGGAGGCAGTTAGTGGCAACACTTTTAACTTTTTTGGGGGAAATTATCCTACAACAGACAAAATCTGTCGCTTCCACCCATGAATAGAAATACTGAAATTCATCCTTAGGCATCAAGGAAAGCAGCTCAGAATCATTTTCCTAGCAGGTTTACCTCTCCCATTTTAACACCACTACTTAAAATGGTGAGGCACATTTTCTTCTATCAAAGATTATTTACTAGGACTATCATTACTGAGATTTTAAAGGAAAGTTTTGCATAATTAGGTATTTTCCTGTTTAGGCCTTGGTATGCAGAAAAATAACATTTTAAAACCTGTAAAGATTTTTCAAAGTTAGTTTGTAAGTTCATGTCTTTTATTTCTATCACAGGGAGAGAAGGGAAACACACTACCACAACTCTGGCCAGTTTTTTGCTTTTGCATTTTGCTCCCTTTGTTTAACAACTTTTTAGATAACCTCATATGTAGCTGAAGAAAAAAAATCACAGCTCCCCAAATGTCAGCAATTTTTACTTTCATCGCTGTTACCTGCAGAGCTGAAACTGATACAACCTCTTCATAACGTTGGACCCAGTGGATTTTTCCCTAAAAGTTTCAATGGAAAAAATAGGGAAAATTATTTAAGATTGTAACTGACAAGTGATAGGTTTTGAAAACTCAGAAACATTAAGAAAATACAGGAAAATAAAAAGTAAAAAGATTCCCCTTCCAAAATATGCACCACACTAGGAAAGACACGCTGAAAGGTTTTGGAATTTTTTTCTTAAATACCATCAGACTTCAGCTCTGTGAAAAACAAGTGTGAGTTGAGCAGAGATCTGTACACATGTTGTTGCAAAAGTGCTGCTTCAAAGTCTGCTGTTGTGTTACTGTGTCAGCAACATTCAAGTGTGGCTTTAAAGGAGGAAACCTTAATATCTGTTCATGTGGGAGTTTTTTAAATTCACATGAAAGTCAAGTGCTTTTCTGGAAGCCAGGCTGGCATGAGCAAGAGACAATTCACGTGCAAGTCAGCATCTGAAGGTGCAATTCAGTTTTGTGTGTAATGCATTGTGTTAGAAATCTTCATCAAGATGCAGCTTTTAGACTTAAATCTTTTGTTATTACTGACTTGGTTTTGCTTTTCCCAGCAGACTGAAGGTACTGGGATAACAGAGGGCCCTCACTTTGTAGTTCTCTGTGTGTGTATTTTCTGCTCAAGAAAGAAATACATTTCTGGTTACAGTTTTACTACAGTTAACAGGCACATTCTTGACCAACCTTTTAGAAAATGTCTTCTGACTGATACTGCAATTGCAACAATAAAGAATACAGAGGGAGGGCTGCTACTCATTTGTCTGTGGCTGCTTTGGAATGCTTTAGTTTTAAAACAGTTTTCTGCTATTCCTTCTTTTTTTTTCCCTTTTTTATTTCAATCTTGTGTATCCCAGTAGCCATAATCAGTCCCTGTATTTACTGTGATGTCCTAAGTCAAATCTTAATTTGATATTTTGGCTTCTGCTTCTTCCTTCTAAAGGCTACTTTACAAGAGTTTATTATTCTTTTATAGAAAGATTTGACACAAAAGACCACAGAGAAGAAGACTGAACTTAATCTCATGATTCCAGTTACATGATAAATACAACAGGTAAGAAACACCTCTGCAGTGTGTAGAGGTCAGTGTTCAATACATGTGGGTGCCCTGTGCATCCCAGCAGGACACCAATTTGCAGTGAAGCAGTCACAGCTTTATTTAGGCTGAGGGACAGACCACACGAGGGTGGCAGGTGCCTAGAAGGGGACTTGTTTACTTCCCAAATTTTCCACTCAGACAAGTGGCTGCTTAAACATGACAGCCTGAAATTCCAGCAGCTATGGCAAGCATTTAAAAAAAAAATAAATATACAGGCAAGGCTTTATGGAGCACATCATGGCAATGGGCTCTGACTGAGGCGCTGCTCCCCTGAGACTGCTCAGGTGCTGCTCTAAATGCTGCAGAGGTGCCCAGTGATTTCAGCCCATGTGTTCCAGTCAGGTGCAGTTCCACAGGGACTGAAAACCACTGCTCTTCACTGGCATTTTGGGAGGCCCAAAGCAGTTATGAGTTAACAGCAGCTCCAACACGTGGCCTTGGTGGGCAGAATTGGCAGGAAAGCCATGAGAAAGGGGCAGTAGTTGCTATGGATTTTTGAGTTCAAGAACAGGGGGAAAAAAGCCTGCAAATTGTGCCGCGTGTTTTAGGATCACCTGGATCTTTATTTCAGCCAACAATCATTGTCTGGCTGGCCTTGGGGAGGCTCTTGCAGATACCTCAGTGTGCCAAACTCCAGTCTGCTGTGAGCCTAAAGCACATGCTAACAGCCAGAATTAGAACCAGCAGAGAATAGGACAGAGGAAAACAACAGCAGCTTCAAATGTAACTCAGAGAAACCTGAACAGACCTTCTGCCCCAAAGCAGAGGAACTTAGGTATATTTATTCTTGACAGATCCTAGACTAATTTTGCAAGCCTCTGATAAAAGCCATTATAATCTGATAAAAGATTATGGTATGGAATCTGTTCAATGCTTATCTTTTCTGACAGACACAGTTTTTCCTAATAAAAGTAGTTTTTCCTAATAAAAGTAATTTTTCCTGCAAAATTTCTGTGCCATTCTTCATTAAGAATCTGTAGAAAAAAAACTGAAAGCATGTTATTCTATTTCCTTTAAATAAAATAACATCCCTTATAACTCTTATTTTTGCTTTTCCCTGGTCCTTAGCAACACCAGAACTGTCCTTCAGCCCTTCTTTGGGGTAATTGCTTAAAGGTCAAAGACTGTTCTGACTAATGTGTAATTTCAAGGGCAAAACTAGTCAGAGCCATTTAATACATTTCTGGGAAGTCCTAAAGCCTGTTCTTTCTCTGTTCTGGCTTGTCCTCCTTGCTGATTATCTTTCTGGTGATGGCAGAAGCAAAGGCAGCAATTTGTGCATCAGCTAACATCCCAGTGCTTCTCAGCAAACCCCTCTCCCAGTGCAGAATCCCTGCAGAGCACTGGTTTCTGTGGATATCCCAGTTCAGACTGAACAGGGCAGGTTTAGCTTTAGCCTCTGCACAGCATTTCCTTGTGGAGTTAAGCAGTAGGCTGTAATGATGAAAACTGGAATTTAGCCAGGGCAGCAAGGTCATTCCCTCTAAGGTTGCAAAAGACATTTAAATCATACTCTGAACAGCTCTGCATTTTAACTACTTCTCTAACATAAAGGGGTGAACTTGTCACAGTAGTCTCTTCACAAGATGGAATCATTATCAGAGGGCAGAAATAATGAACAATATTTTTGTTTGTACTGTAAAGCCAACTCAGGATGAAATCCCTACTCTTCAGCAATCACTGACAAAGCACCCTTTCACTTCATAGTCCAGGGTCACAAAGTCACAAGGCCAGCAACAAGGTAAAGTACCAAATCTTAAAATACTGCTATAAGCAGTGTTCTGACTTGTATGTGTGGTCTGAAAGTGAATGTAGCCCCAGCTTCTTACAAAGAATTTCTTGTTAATATTGTTGTTAACAGAGGGAGCGAAGCCCTTTAGGTAAATACCATCATGTGGCTGTAAGGAGAGTTACCCCACAGCTCTGGAACCCATGTATCCGCAGTTCCTGAGGCTGTGGTTTCTCAAATGCTTTGAACGTGTAAGTGGCCACCATGGAAAGAAGCATTCCCATCTCCCAGCTAACATCTGCTGCATCTCCTGTGCCAACACAAGCTCCCATTGCCTTTGTGGGGAACTGGCTGGGGGAAAAAAATCTGCATATAGCAAAACCAGGTAATACATGAATAAATAGTTTAAGATGTTCCCAGAACTGCAGTTCCACTGAGAACAGGACAGGACTTTTCTTCAAGAGGTTTTCTATGCTCAGAACATGAAGTTTTAATGCTTTACATGCAAACCTCACTCACATTTGTCCCAGAGCCTGTCCCTTGTCCCTCAGAGCCCTCCCAGGAGAGCTGAGCCACACCCAGAACATTCCCAAGAGATGTTTGTTTGGTGTGATACCCGAGACAGCTCAGCTCTCACGCAGCAATTCCTGGTTTCCCCTTCCACCCTCTTCCTCCTCTCCCAAAATAATAGGTAAACAAATAAAGCAGTGGCCAGCAGTTCAAAGAAAATACTTCTAGACTGATGGCATTAAACTGCTGAGGGTGATTATTCTATTAGCTTCTAAAATTAAAACTGTTAAGGAACGTGAGCTTTTTAACATGTAAGAAATTATCATTATTGGAGCCATGACCTTTCTCTTCTGTTGACCCTTCCAGATGAAGCTGTGTAAGTAAGAATTAGGCTTATCATTCAAGAACAGACACTGCAGCCATCAACTCATCTCATTTCTTCATGGGAGCAGCAACAACGGAGTAGGTAGAAGGTAGTGCTCAGAAAAGCAAGAGGTTTGCCAGTTTTTCAAAATGGCTTTCTTATACTCTAGCTCCTTTATTTTAAACTAGCTAAATTATCCAGCCATAAAGCTGCTTATCAGTTGCTGCTACTGATGCCTCAACTTATGTTTGTTTGCAGTGCTTAGTTTATTTTATTTTTAGATTCGAGATTGTGATCAAAGCTTTGAATATCTTGGCTATTTCATTTCCTTTAGTGACCAAAGGAGTTTTCATTTCTTCCTCAAACCAGTGGAACAAGCCAACAAACAAACAAACTCTCCAACATTATCTGAAATGTTATCTCTTTCATTTTTAGTCACTGACTTTATTATTTTTAAAGTAACTTGGCGCTCCCATAAAGTTTGCTAGTCAAAAGCAATATACAATTTTCACCAAAGTCAGACACTTCTGTAATGAAAGGTTTTGTTCAGGCTGAGTTTCCCCTGTCCTTTGAGCTTCCTTGGCCCTACTCTCTTCCTTCCTCGCAGTCCTAGCTCTTCTATGGAAGAAATACAGGGAAAGTAGGGACATCTTTCACAGCTCTTCCTTTTCCACTTTGAAAATGAAGTTTAGCATGGCACAAAGTTTATCTTATTTGTTAAAATTATGTAAAGATGCGTTCTCAGTATGAAAGACAACTGAACCCAGTCTCAGAAGGAGGATCAGAGGGGTTTGACACCTTGGGCTGTAGCCCTGTGACCGAGCAGGAGCACAGGGACTGTTGGGGTCACAGCTGCAAGGACAGTGAAGAGCAGGTCCCAGGGCACGTTGCTTTATATATAAAACATTGCTTTAGCCTCCTGTTTTTTCTTGCGAGCTGCAGATTGCTCCATTTCCCCATCACTTCAAAGAAGGAAAACTACTAAAAATATAAACACTAAAAAACTGTGCATGAGCTCTTAGTACAAAGAAACTGTTTAAATCCTGAAATATCCCATCCTGAAAAGAGGCCTTTTTCACTTGGCATAGTGCAAATGAAAACTGGATTTCTGAGAACTATCACATCTGTAGGAAAGAAAAATTTTCATATTGCTTGCTCCATCAGTCTGTACAGTATGTTATTTCTGGACTGCATATTCTGTGAGTAGGCTCAGGATACAGACAGTTTATCTTTCCTTTTCTATGAAATCTACTAGCTGATCTCAAGGATTAAGTGGAAAGAAAAACTCACATCAGTTGCAAAATAAATACCCACTTCTAAATCAACAGGTTAAATGAAGCCAGAAAACCACCCTGAATGCCAATCAGTGCAAATCACCTGGAAACCATAAATAATAACTTTCCAATTAACCTGCAAAGAATGTTCCAAAAAACATCTCAACTCAGAATAATGCAATGTAAGTAGAACCACTTACAAAATAATTAAAGATGGGCTGAGATAACAAACAGTGGAGATTTCCAGGTGACCCTCTCAGCTCAGAGGTAAATCAAGCCACTTACACAGTTCAGGTAAAACAATTCAGTGCATCCTGTAGAAATGCTGCAAAGATCTCTCTATAGATAGATAAATATAATACAACCATGGCTGAGACCTCAGTTTAGAGATGGATACCAATGCAAACACAAACAGGTCAAAAAAGGAGAGCTTCCTATTTATATTCCAAAAATTTCAGAAGTGCTGAAATAGTTTTCCAGACTAAATACGACTGTGTGATGTATCAACATGGAAATCCTGCGTCCAGAGAAATAAATTTTAAGCATGCTTAGCTCTTTGTTAGAGAGAAGGAATCTGCAGAGACTCATGGGTGCCGCTCATGTTGCAAGAGTAGCATCAGCAAGCAGAGGAATAGCAAAGGGGAACAGGCTAAAAAAGACCCCATTCTTTAAAGCTTTAGGAGAAAGAAACCCACTAAGTTCTATGCACAGCACAATGTTGCTAGTTTTTCCCATATTTCTTTAGCCTTGGTTTGATCTCTGATGACTACATTTCATCTACCTGGAGCATTCACGTCCCTTTTCTGTATGAATCTTCTGGTGCAGAGCCACAGCCTCCTCTTCACTGGGATGTTCATGGAGAATCTCTGCTCATCTCAATTAACTCCCTGCAGTGCAGCCTCCTGGTCCAACAGGGCCAAAACTGACCGAAGGGTTCAAAAGTTATTTGGGAGGGGAGCGGGGCCGAGGGGGACGCACACAGAGAAATTGCAGGAAGTTTCATTTTTCTCACGGAACCAAGGCAGAAATCAATTCTCTCCTTTTGTACAACTCCCTCCTAGGCAGTCATGCCAAGTGGGAGAGGCAGCTGCTGTGCCTTTTCCCTGAACTCACACACTGGGCCACCTGCACACCAGGGAGGGAAGAGGATCCAGAGGATCACGCACAAAGCACAGGGACAAGAATCTCACATTGAGACCCTGCTGATCTATCGACTTAAAATCTATTCCAAAAAATGGAATCTAACAAATTCAGTCTAGGTTATTGTTCTAAATAAGAATAATTAGGAAAGAACAGCAAGGAGGATTCCTGCAGGCACATCAAATGGACTTGAAAGATGACTAAAATGTCCTAAGTGTTTTATTACACTAATTAGTGAAAAGCTGTTCAACCAGAGCTGACCCAAAAACTCTGCATGTGCAGCACAGCAGCTCACACTACAGAGAACAACAGATTAAGTTTGACTCTGGGCAACAGTTAGGTTTGACTCTGGGTTTTACCCTAAGCTTAGATTTTTTATTTTTTGTAGAAGATCCTTTTTTGCTTTAAATTTTATTCCTGTGATTATCAGTTGAAGGTTTATAGAACTGATATTAATTTCCTGTAAATTTACTGAAGTCTTATTCTGCAAGAGTTTTCTGTAGCTGTTCTTTCTTTCATCTGTTTTGATCTCTGTGGTTGTTTTAATTACCATCTTACTAAGTTTGCTCTAAATTTACAGGACCGAGAGCCTTACACCAATACAATTTTTTCTTAAAAAAAAAATAATTCAAAGTTTTAGAGAGAAGGAAAACATGGATGGCATCTGGAAACTGGTTTGTTTCTGTTTTGTTTTCCACAAATAATCAGGCTTTGGACATCACATGTTTGGTTCTTATAGGTGAGGCACAGTTTGCCCAAGCAAAGCCCTGACAGGAACAATGAATTTTGCTGTTTGCAATCCTGCACACTTCTCCCATTCCCAAGGAATCAAACAATGCAAGAGAGAGAAGAGTTCACAGCTGCTTGGTATCCAGCCTGAAATGTGGAAGACGCCATTGTGCTCAGGTTAATGTGCTAAATATTCATTGCAAAGAAGCAGACCTAAGCAAGGCAAACAGGCTGCCTTCATTAAGGAATCTAAAATATGTGCTTGTTTCTGACATCTTTTTAAAAGAGATTCAAGAGCTACAAGGAAACCACCTCTAGACTAATGCAAATGTGGCTCTCATCAAAACAAAGTTTAAAATATTAATAGCTTAACAGAACTCAGAAAACAAAAACTTTTAATGAATTATTTGTTAAAACTTTTTTTCTCCATAGGGAAAAAAAAAATCAGTCTGCTTAACAATGGGGATTATGTTAATTTTCCTATCATTTTACTGAAATCACTTTAATTGTCATTTTCCTTTAAGTTTCATAAGAAGTACAGGCTCAGATCTATAGAATTTAGTAAGAATGGAATCAGCAGGGTTCCAAGGAAATGATCTCGGGATCTTTAGGTGTTGCTATTTCTCAAGAAATTAGAAGAATAAGAAATTCCATAGCAAACATTCAATTCAAAATGATAAATTGAAAAGCCTACCTTTTTATTAGATCCAGTCAACACTAATTATTTCTAAAGTAAAATCTGAGTGGTACAAAGCAGCTTTTTTTTTAATCCTGCATTCATTTTCCAAATTCAACTTGACTATTCATTAATGAGATCACACTGCAAAGAATGAAATGTGAACCAAGCCATTGTGCAAGTTTGCTAATCCTGTATTTACTTTTTGCCCACAAAAAGGTTAGGTTTTCATGTTCATAAAGGAAAATTAGTGTAAATGAAAGAAATATCTGTTTAAGGGAAGAAAAACTAGAGTAATAGAAATCTGGAAAAATGAACAATTCAGAAATGCTGAAGTGCTCTCTTGGAAGGTTGTTACTGAGATTCAAACAAAGGGGGCATTTCTGGCTATTTTCTGTATACCAATAGTGAAATAGGGCTACAGTGTGCATAATGCAGATCAGAGGGGTTGAAACCACTGGCAAATATTAGGCAGGTCCAAGTTTTTAGAGGGAAAAAGTTTTCATTGCTTCTTTAGACTAGGTAAAGCCTGCCTTGTAATCCCAGGGGTGTCTGCTGCCTAAATAGAGCACAAACACCATCTGGGGCAAAGGGGGCTGTGTGTGGGTACTGGTAGGGATGAGAGTCAGCACCACGTTTGTTGGGGCTGGTAAGGCCAAATATCTATTCCAGATATGGCACAGGGGGCACACCACAAATATATTTGTCCCTTTTCTTGACACACTGATGGAGACAAAATCCATCTTAAAAGCCATTACTGGAGGCTCAGGTTTATGAATTTTATGGCTTTGAGGGTTACAAACCAAAAGGCAACAAACATCAGAAAAAAAACAACGAAAACCCAGTCTGATTTCCCATCCACCTCATGCCCCCAATTCTAAGAGCAATATTTGTCATTTGAGATTATGGGCTTTGGAGAAATAGGGTTTGTTAACCCAAAGTGTTTCATTTGCTGAGTTTGTAAGTCCCTCGTGCGTAGGGTAAAAACCAAATAACCCTACAAAACAGCTGTGTTTGCATTTAAACAAACATTAATTGATTGAAGTAATGAGTAACCTCAAAGAATGGTTTGGAAAGTTCACAGCATCCTTCAAATGTTTGTAGACTATTAGAAATTAACTAATTTAATTTTCTAGGTACTCTTTTGCTACAGCTGTATCTGGAAGCAGGGGGGATGGAAGACACACCACGCTTGTGTGTAATGGTTAGAAATAAAAGAAATTTGAGTTAAATACTCAGAAAGGTTTTCTGGACAGTAAATCTACCTCCAGTTTCCAGAGGACACAGTTCTGTTACACTCTGCTTTTTCAGAGAGGGGAAACACTGCAGCAGCAGCCTGGCAAGTGGGTCTGGGCTTGTTCTGTTCCTCCACCTCCTGCAAATGCCCCGACACATCCCCCAGGTGTGAGAGTGGATGTTGGGATTTACAGAATGTTCTCTTCAGAGGCACATGGCCAGTCCCTCCTGAGAGCTTAGGGCAGGGCTGGAGCCCCCAGAATGGCTGGGAAGGGAACACAGCACCCATCACTAATGTCATACAGTCCCAGGGCTGTCCTCAGGCAGAGGAAATGAAAAGATGGAAAGGTAGAACTCATTTCAGATATGTGTAGTACCTCTTCAAAGGAATTTGACATGTCAATGGTATAGTCCATAAAACAAGCCAAGAATTTCTTACTTTCTCAAGTATCCTCTTGTGATGACAGATATCACTGCCTGGACAGATTTTTCTAACCACTTGTTTCCATTCAGTTCTTTCAATGGTGTCTATTGCTGACTTCTGAAAGCAACTGGTTACTTTCAAAGAGGAAATGAAACTTTTGGGACTATTTGGTTTTTAATTTACCTACTAAGACTTGACTAGAAAACTGTCTGCTCTTTATTTACACTAAATTTCATACCTGTAATTAAATCATAAATCATACAGAAATCATAATTAATGTAAAATGATCCTTTGAACACCCCATAAATACAACACAGGGTGATGTTCCATAGCAAAGAATGTATTTCCTTCAGTATTTTGCCCTGTCTTTAGTTTAAGCAACATCAACTCCCAGCTGGGAGGTAGCCATGGAAATCAGGAACTCTCTGCAATGCATCAACATGCTCAGAAACCACTGAGCTGGTGGCAGCCAAGTCCAAAGCATGTACCTCATTAATTAATACCACATTTGTGGATTGTCCACTGATTTGCTGAATAAGTTCCACTGTTATTCAGAAAATAAAGTGGGTAATCAGAATCAGATGATGTACACAGAAAAGTTCTTATTTCCTTAGTTTAATTTTTCTAAAACAATAGGGCAGACAGTACTATATAAAAGGATAAAAAGAAGCAATTCTAATCAAAGTTTGCTTGCAATAATGGTAGTTTAGTGCTAAATATTTGCCCCCAAATCAAGCCCTGACTGTACCTCCACAAAGCTGCATGTGCAAGGAAGGTGGAGCAGCAGACCAAGGGACGTTGTTAATCAACCAAATCCACTCAGAGAAAATGTTCACTTTGCCAGACAAGTTGTTCCTACAATACCAGATGCAGGTTTAGTGCATTGATTTTTACTAGTCCAAGCAAGATCTGGATTTTTCTCAGTCTCTCTGTGTTCAGAACTTTAATAGCATTAAAGTTATAAATTAGAAGACCCATTCCTTCCACATGAGTTAAAGTACAGAGTCTAATTCAATTTACTGGGACAATTCAGATGCATTAGGAATTACTTACATATACATTTGCAAAAATCAGTGACTTCTAGATCCTTTCAGAGGGTGAAAATGAGGGTAGGAGAGGAGACAGAAATTTCATGTCAACAAGGTAGGCACCAATCTGCTCAACCAGCTTCTGGTTTTCCAACACCACATAAGGTGAAGGGGTTCCAAAATGAAGCACACGCTACTAGTGTATAAAACTTGATGACATTCTTTATCTCCCCAAAGACCTGAGCTCCTAGATGTACCAAAAGAAAAGCTAATTGGACAGCAGCTCAGCTGCCTGTGCCTACAGCCACATCCAAGCCTACAAACAATGTTGCTGAAGTTCATGAGGTCAATCAGATGGAGAAGCTGGGCACAGAGGACCCTTCTGCTGAGCAAAAGTCTCAGCTGAACAAACAGTGCCTTGATCTTCCTTGGTTCATGCCTGTAGCACAGAACAGCTCAAGGTACTCAGGCAAGTAATTATATTTGTACTTTGTATTTGCTAAGGTTGCATGGCTTAGAAGAATTTACAGCTTTGGAATACCAATGCATATCTATAGATGCTTTTTCACATTTTCCATGATAAACATACTTCTCTATCTGCTAGCACGTGGAATGAAGCCTTTCTCAGAGTCATGGCAGGCATAGGTTATATATGAGGTCTAGGTTACCTC